CAATGCATTTAATTATTGTAATAAAGAAAAAATTATTTTTATTTTTTATGAGTCGGGGGGGGGGGCGGCGGTGCGACAAACACCCTCCCCTAAAGTTAGTGTTGTATATCACTAATGTATGTTTTATAGTAAAAAAAAATATTTTTACTTTTTAACAAAATATTAAATTACTGTAAAAAGATTAAATTATTTATTAGAAAGTATGATTATTGTATTTAGGGTGTTATAACATCACAACCACATCTATGGTCAACTCTAAGATCACCTTATTTTGTTTGGCAGTGTTTTGGAATCAAGTTATGGCAATATTTTGTGTATAAAATATAACAATTACATTTAAAAATCGCTTATTTCTGACTAAAACTTGTATTTTCTTAAGGGTTAGATGGTGTTTCATTACCCCCTCTGGCTCCCAAGATACACCCTACATCCAGGCACCAAAATGAACTTGTAGCCCATTAGTGCACCTATCTTGTGATACCAAGATATAGGTATTTGGATAAAAATTGACAAAGTTATAACAATTTAAGTGAAAAAAATAATTATTTTGACCACAGTTTCTTCAACAATTCCATATATCCAAAATTTGTTACTAAAAATCTTATAACTTTTTTTAGAATTGTTCGTTTTTAATAATTTTTTCACCTTTAAAATACTGTATTAAAGGCCTTTCTAATGATGTATAACATTCTACTATAAATATAAAAATTTCTATCAATATAATACTAATACTATACTATCAATATAAAAATTTCAGTGCACGTACCTATTCTTATATATATATATATATATATATACATATATATATATATATATATATATATATATATATATATATATATATATATATATATATATATATATATATATATATATATATATATATATATATATATATAATATATATATGTATATATATAATATATATATATATATATATGTGTATATATATTTATATATATATATATATATATATATATATATATATATATATATATATATATATATATATATATATATATATATATATATGTATATATATATATATATATATATATATATATATATATACATACATACATACATACATACATACATATATATATATATATATATATATATATATATATATACATATATATATATATATATATATATATATATATATATATATATATATATATATATGTATATATATATATATACATATATATATATATATATATATATATATATATATATATATATATATATATATATATATATATCAGGCTTCGGCAGGAATAAAAACCGTACGGGCTATGAAAAGCCCGTCTTAAATAGACTTGGCGGGCTATGAGGGCCGCCCGTCTAGATGGTCTTGCACGGGCTTTTTTAAACTTTAAAAAAAATTTTAAAGTTTGAACTTTTTTTTTTTTTAATTTGTTAATTTCTCTTCTTCTTTTTGAATGAAAATGTCATTGAATATTAAACATTTTGTGAATTGCACTAAAATAATATGTTAGAAAGCGATTAACTGTTTAAAATGCTTAATTACTTAAGTAATTAAAACACTGCAGTAAATGAGTTGGATAATACTTAAAACTAAGATTTCAATAATTGTTTTTCAAAGTTTTCACTTGCACAGATCTAATTTCGTTTCACGTGGGTTAGTTGTTTTATGGTTGCTTTTGTTTAGATTTCTTACTCGAAGGAACTTTATTCAGTTATTTATGTTTTTTTTTTTAATCTTTATTCCAGATAATATCTGGCAGATATAGTCAAACGAATAAACGTGAAAACGACGGGAAAAATCCTCGAAACAACCATGGCGTTTCATCACGTTTCCTTATTCAAGCATCCTAACGTGTTTTTTTACCGAAGTCTTTTTGAGTATATTTATATATTATTGTTTTATTCAAGTATTCGATTAAATTATACAGGTTTTTATCGTGCTTTTTTAGTTCATTCGTTTTTCTTATTCTTTATGAATAAAAATATTACATAATATTTTCAAAATCTAATTTTTTTAATTATTCAGCAAATAGTTTGATATCTTTTTTTTTTTTAACCTTGAATCAATGAGCTCGATAGTTTTAGAATTGTTTGGTATTAGCTTGGTAATATGATACGTAACTATGTTATTTTTCAAATTCAATTATTTATATACTCTTGCATTCTATTGGGCGTGCAAATTAAAAACTTAAACTGTTATTTATATTTTTATAACTTTGCTTTACCTATGCCTATCCTGATCGGAAATAGTTATTCTGATACGTGAATAAAAAATTTGAAATCTAATTTCTTTTAATAAAATAAGTTTTTATTTAGAAGTACTAATAATTTCTTAAGATACCGGGGCTTCCGTTACTTTATATACAATATAAGCATGTATATAAGCGTATGTATGTTGCTAGCTTTAACGTTCGTAGTGCCCTCTATAAATGCTAATGCTTTTGATTTTGCCAGACCTTTTAACTCGCGAAGCAATTCTTTTTTATATTTTATACAAACCATACACCATATCTTCACAACAAAAATTGTTCCATTCTCCACCTCAGTTTCGTTTCCACAGACTCCATCTTTACCCCACTCAAAAATGTTGCTAATGTAACTCTTCTACCAGATGATGCCATTACTATCTTTACTGAAAAACTTGAATAACTTGAAAAACTTGAATGACTGGATAACTTGAATAACTTCATAACTATAAAGCAACACTATTTATATTATCTACAAAAATTGATTAGACGTTTGTTGATTTTTAATGAGATATTTCATTTTCAATAACGAGTTATATAATTGCATAATAAATAAACTGCCGTCTCTTTAAGAAAAAACGTGAAGTTAACGCGGAAGTTAACGCGGAAATATCACTTTAAATGTCTTTAAAGTAAGACAAACTAGTTTATCGGAAAAAAGTGAAATACATGGATAATTAGTTTATTATCGTTATTATTATAAACATTGAAAAACCAAAACAACGTGGTACTTCTTGTTCATTACATGTGTATATTTCCCTATTTAATATAATAGTTATTAAATTTTGAACATAATATGGTAACTGTTTGGTATTATATCAAACAGTTATCGTCGTTTAAAAAACTGTAAGATTTAGTTATATTATTTTCTACATCATGTTATACAATAATGATTAAATTGTTTAATTTTTATATTTAAATATAAACAATTATAAGTTGGAGTTTGCTATCCATATTAAAATAATGTCATGAGAGAAGTTTTAAAAGAGTATCTTAATAAAAAAACATCAAAATATTCATCTTTTTTTTTACACAAAACTTATGTTTCAGACGGGCTTTATTTCGCCCGTCTAAACTGACTTAGACGGGTGCGGAGACGGACACGGGCCATAGCCCGTCATTCCTGCCGAAGCCTGGATATATGATTTGTATTAAAAACACCATTATAAGATGAAATACAGCATAACAAATCTCCTTTTTTAATGTTTATATCTTTTTTATCGTTATTATATAAAGTTATTTTAATATCATCAGTAGACTCTATTACAGCAGAATTTAGTAAATTTAGTGTTGGCTTATAATTTTCTGCAAGTGAAATCATTACATGCCCTTTATCTATTTTAACTCCACACATTAAAGAAATACTATTATATGAATTTGATTTTACTGTAAAATCTTCTTGTGCAAATACTTTAATATATCTATCATTTATTGCTCTATGTTCTAAATCTGAATTAATATTAAAAGTTATTGTATATTTTTCATGCTTTTCATAATCTAAAAACATTCTTCTTTTATACATTTTTATAAATGTAAAGATTTTTTTAGATCACTATAAATATAATACTTTTAAAGTATGATATTTTTTCATTTTTTTAAAGTTCTAACAATATAATTTAAAATACTTTCACCTTGATGTAAAAAATAACATGTTTTATCACTGTTATTTTTATATATTGTTTCTATTTCTTCTTTTTTATTTTTCTTTAATTTACTCTCTACTAATTTACATGGATTATAATGACAAATTTCAACATTTTCTTCAATTTCTTTTTTAGAATGAGCATATTTGCAATTTATATTTTTACATTCTTTTTTATCAAGAATATATTTGCATAATTTAGTTTTAGCTTTTCTTAATTTAGATAGTTCTGACTTTTTAGGATGAAATAATACACTCTTTATTCCTACATTTAGGATAATCATAGCAAATATGAATATGCCTATATTGACATGAAGATTTAGTGCATATCAGTCTTTCCTTTACAGTATTACAATAAGGAATAACATGATTGTATTTACATTTTCTTCCAAAAGGGCAGAAATTATCATTTAAAATATTTTTACAGTAAATGGGTAGTTTCTCTACAAAATGAATTGTTGAAGGTTTTCCATCTTCAGTAAAATTAATATCTACATTAAATGGTTTTTCAAAACTAAATTTTCTTTTTTTGTAATGTTTTTTAAAAGAAGTATTATCTATAGCAGGATAATCATCATTAATAACATTATAAGTTGGAACGTAATTAATCCATTTCAGCTTATCTCTATGCAGTTCCATGATTTGAACTGTTTTTAAAGGAATTGGAACGATAGGTCTTTCTTTAACTTCATCTTCATCATCAGATGTAAAATAAGTAGCTTCATCAGATGTATAATAAGTGTCATCTTCATAATCTGATTCTTCAAATTCAAATTTTAATATTTCTTCAAAAAGTTTAAATTCTTTTTGAAATTCAGATATTTCATTAATCTCATCATCATTCATTTTTATTTTTATTATTTGATAAAATGTTTTAAATCAAAAAATTAAAAATGAGTTAAATAAATTTCTTTTATATATAAAAAGAAATGGAAAATAAACTTGAAGAATTATTAAAATTAATAGATGAAAGATTAAGGTTAATAGAAGAAAAATTAAATATTATTGATATTCATGATATTGAAATGACTGAAGATTCTGAAGTTACTACAGTTACTACTACTGAAGTTACTGAAATTACAGAAACTACTGAATATAGTGATGATAATGATATTGAAATGACTGAAGACGATGATGATGAAGAAGTTACTACAGTTACTACAGTAACTACTGAAATTACAGAAACTACTGAATATAGTGATGATGAAGATGAAGATGAAGAAGATGAAGAAGAAGTTACTACAGAAATTACTGAATATGTTGATGATGATGAAGATAAAGATGATGACTAAGATGATGAAAGTACACAAAATTAATTATTTTTTTATTTTTTTACAAAAAAAATAAAAAAAATTGAAAATGAGTTAAATAATTTTCTTGTGTATATAAAAAGAATGAATCAAGAAAATAATATTGAGAATAATAAATTTTTAATAAAACCTTCAACTCAAATATATTATATTACTACAATATTAAAAAACTATGGGTATAAACAAGGTAATAAGGTTGATTTTGCTGTAAGTATAGGCAGAAATGATCTTATTAAATTATTAAATCAATTAGGTGAAAAAGGAGATCTTAAAGAAGTACAATATGTACATATTGTACATTCATTAGGTTATAAAGATATAAATGATGCAATAGATAATGTTGTAAAAAATGGTCACCTTGAAGCAATTAAATATTTACATGAATTTGGATATAGAGGAGAAGAATGGACAATTAATTATGCTGTAAAATATGGTCATCTTGAAGTAGTTAAATATTTACATTCATTGGGTTATAAAGATAAAAAAGAGACGGTTTATTGTGCTGCAATGAATGATCACCTTGAAGTAGTAAAATATTTAATTGAATTAGGATATGAATGTGATGAATGGATAACTAATGATGCTGAACGTAAAGGAAAAAATGCTGAACAACTTCTTAAAGTATTAATAGATTTACATTCTATTGGATATAAAGGTACGGAAAAAGCAATTTTTCATGCTAAATTAGCTGGTTACCTTGAAGCATTTGAATATTTACATTCAATAGGATATAGATACAGTTGATAACGCTTTTAGAAACAGCAAGAAAAGTCACATGACCTGTGACGTCATGCAAGAAATTTTCGTAACATTTTGTAACAAGAAATAAAAAATTAACACTTATTTTTAAAAAATTCAATTTTTTCAAATTTATATAAATTTGAAAAATTATTTCTTATATAAATAATTATTCACATCATGGTTAGAAATGAACCCTATATTTTTTAAAATATATGGTTGAAAATATGGTTGAAAATGAAAATATTCTATTAACTCTCCTTTCTATACTACTTCTTTACCTTTACCGCCAGCCATATTAAATTTTGATTATAAACCATTGGTCAACAACCTGCATTATACATTGTTATTATTATTATAGTTACATTAAAAATTGATAAACATGTCTTAGATAAAATACAAATTATTCTCAATGAAAAATTGCACAAACCGCAAAGGTTTCTTACCAAACCGTAATGCAAGTAAGAAAAAGAATTGATACAGGGAAAGAGTTTTGTTCAAGGAGACCACCTTCTAAACGCAAGAAAACACCAAGAGCGGACAGTATAATAAGAAATATCTGCCTGGAAAACAGAAAAAAAGCCACTAAGCTTATCCATGAAGCTGTAATTGTTGTATCAGACCGGACCATTTGTAGAAGGCTAAAAGAAGAGGAATTGATGTCCAGCCAAAAAAGTCAAAAATTGACAAAAAAATTAAAAATATTAAAAATAATGTCAAAAATCTTATATTAATATAACAAAAACAAAAACCCCACTAATTAAAAAAACTTTCTAGTCGTTATTAATGCGGTTTTTAAAAATTTTTTCAAAAAACAATAAATATTAATGTACTTCCCCATTAATTTAATTGCTTTGACATTTCGACGACAATTTAATACAGCTTAAGGGGCTCATTACATGAGGTGAATTCAACCCGGGATGAAAGTTCAGCTCGGTGCCGGGTTGAAAATTGCTTACTATTACATAGACGTTTTCATCCCGCTGCAACTTTCAGTTTTCAAATTTCAACTCGGCCGGGTTGAAATTTTTTTATGTAAAATGTCTATTCGTGAAAATAATAATATTGTACAAAAAGTGTTATTTATAATTCAACAGTGCAGTCTACTTACAGCACTTATATTGCAACTTAATGGTTTAGTAATTACATACAAACTATTAGAAAGCAAACGAAATATTGCCCTTGGTGCTTATTTATGCACACGAAAAAATAACTTGCAACGTAAGAAGAAACTTGCTAGATAAAGACTTTTGAACAGAAAATCTAGAAGTTTATGGGTGGAAAAGGGGAGAACTGATTTATGGTGGCAAAATATGATTGGACCAGATGTCCCTGAAACTTGCTGGAAAAGAAATTTCCGAATGACAAAGGGATGTTTTCTAGAGCTTGCTGCTATTATAGATACTGTTGTAAGTCCTCAATCTAACTGTCCAAATTATCGTTTTTTAACTACACTCAAAAAACTAGCAATAACCATTTATTATTTAAAGGATACTGGTTCCCTTTGGATGACAGCCAATGTTTTCGGCATTCATCAATGTACTGTTTCAAAAACTGTAAAAGTTGTATGTGATGCCATAAATAATATCGTTGGTCCTATATATTTACATCTACCTAAAAATAAAGAGGATATGACCAAATTAGCTTCACAGTTTGAAGTAAAGTTCGGCATGATACAAGCATTTGGATGCATTGATGGCACTCATGTCCAAATTAAACATCCTATTAAAAACGGTCAAGACTACTTTTGTTTTAAGCAATATTTTTCATTAAATGTACAAGCGGTATGCGATAGCAAAGGATATTTTATTGATGTTGAATGCAAATGGCCAGGATCTGTACATGATGCAAAGATGTTTACAAATTCCACTATCAATAAAAAATTAATAAAAGGCACACTACCTCAAACACTGTACAGTTTACCTAATTACCATTCAATTCCTAACTATCTGATTGGAGACCCAGCCTATCCATTAACAAACTTTTGCATAAAAGATTTTCAAAGTTGTTCAAATAACGAAGAAGTCATATTTAACAGCATGTTACGCTCTGCTAGGAACCAGATTGAATGTGCTTTTGGCAGATTAAAAGCAAGGTGGGGATTTTTAAGAAAAATAATTGATATAAAAATAGAAACAGTTCCTATTGTTATTTATACTTGTTTTGTTCTTCATAACTTTTGTGAAAAAAACAAAACCTATGACCTAAATGAAGAGGAGGTTAATCAGCAAATTGAAAGACATCGAAGTGATGCATTGAAAAGCCCAAACCTGCCTGACAGTATTTACTCTGCTAATAATCCTGAAGGTGAATATATACGCAAAACTATAACAAAATATATATCAGAAAATTTATTCAGGGACTAAAAATATAAAAAGCTTATATATAAAAAAACTAAGGAAAATGTGAAATTCTTTTTTATGGTTAAATTATTGTATTTTGCTAAATTATTGTAATTGTTGTGTTTCATTACAAACAGGTTATAATTATTAGCAAGAAAATATTTTAAATTTAACAACAAAACAAATAAAGTTTTACAAGAAAAAAAATATTCATAAGCAATAAAAACAAGTCCATTATATTGCAATCATTAAAGTTACTATAAAATGTACTAATTTTATTATACACCTTAATTATTGTTGATTAGTTTTCATTCCCTGAAATAATAATTCCATTGATCTAGAAAGTCCCTGGGCAACCTGTAAAATAGATTCTGACATTCGCTCGATTGATGCTGAGAATGTTTCATTAGAATATCTTATGGCTTCAGCGATATCTCTTTTAAATTGAGCATATTCTTTTGCTTTATTCAACAAAATTTGATCTCTTTGTGATGCACTCAATTGTCTCTGCATGTGTCTTCGCTTATTGTCAATAAATTTTGGAACAATTTCATTATTGTCATTTTTACGTTTCTTTTTTTTAGTTGAGATATCACTATCAACAGATGAAGTTTCTGGACTCTGTAATAATAAAGAAAAATCAACTACACTATTGTCCTCAATACTGCAAGAACTTGAACATAGATTTACATTATCTGTATTTTCAACTGTGGTGTCTTCAGTGCTACATGTTAAATTTTCTACACTTTTGTTATTATCCATAATTTCCTTATTAACATCATATGTTGATTTCCCAAAAAATAACGGTTCTATAGATGGAGATCCACCCCATATTTGAACTAGATGATCATAAAATTCAAGTACTATTTTTCCACTTCCACTCCTTCGACCTGATGTTACAGCTAATGAAAAATTCTGACGAATTTCTTTGATTTTTTTTTGAACTCTAGTATAACCTCTTTTAATAAGAGTTATATCAATTTTATTTTGTTCGGATAAGATATTGTCATAAGGACAAACAGGCCCAAACCAACTTGGCTCATGACAGTAAATGTTAGCCAAAGCTTTTCTACAACTTTCATACTGATTTGATTTGTCAGCATTAAAATCCTTGTTATTATATTCCATTTAAGATTTAAAATTTGATAAACTCTGAATTAAATTTGAAATTTTATTGTCTTTATCCCAACGAAATCGAACTTCTACGCTTTCTTTTATCTTTACTTCACTTACTGGTTTTAGTGCAGCCATCTTTAATTTTACATTAATAATGGAAATTGTCAGGGCTGAAAATCCTGCCTCGGTTTTATAAAACGAGCTAGGATATTGATCCCGGGGGGAATTTCATCCCGCTCATCATATAATACTAAATTTAAATTTATAAGAAAACAAAGTGTTAGGCGGGGGGAAATTTCAGCCCGGATAAGTGGGCTAAAACCTAGCCCGAGCTGATTTTTACTCATGTAATGAGCCCCTAAGAGACAAGGAAATTAAAATTGTAGTCGAAAGTGACTTTTTTTACATTAAAAGACTCTTTCGACTACACTATAAGGATATATATATATATATATATATATATATATATATATATATATATATATATATATATATATATATATATATATATATATATATGTATATATATATATATATATATATATATATATATATATATATATATATATATAAAATATATTCATAAAAGCATATGTATGTATATATAAATACATATATATGTATGTTTATTTATGTACATATATATGTATGTATATATAGAGTAAAAAAAAAGGCTAAGTATGCGTTACAAATCAACCTTTGTACTTTAAGGTTGTTCTTTAGCTCAAGGAAATACAAAAGTAAGAGAAAACAGTTACAAAAAAAATTATAATCAGACATAAAAAAAAAAGATTTATATTATGTCTGATTAGAATTCGTCAAACTTTTAAAACTATATGCTACACATATTTTTAACACAAGTTTAAAACCAACTATAATAAAAAGATTCAAAAGATTTATTATATAAAACTACTTTTAACAAACCTTTGCATCACATTTTTTTGTATTTGTCTTAATGGTTTTACCTCCAATTTTAGAAAGTTTGTTAACCTAAAGGTTTAAGAAAATAATTACACAACATTATTTTTATAGTACATTTATAAAAAGTAGATTAACTTAGGATAAGTTATTAATAAATACTTTTTTAAAAAACAATTTAAAAAACTGCAAAAAGTCATGGTTTAAAACAACCCATCACTTTTGACCTCACCCAAGAATCATTTAAACTGTTATCATAATCATTAAATTACTGCTGCAAGTTCATCCATAGAATTTTCATAACTATTTGTCATGATATTACTTTAATTACTGGAAAGAGTTTTTACTAACATCTCTTTCTAACAATAAAGATATATCAGAAAGACAAAAGAACCAAACATTAATTAATTTCTAAAAGGGTTGAAACACAAGAACAAAACATTTATAAAATAAAACATTATTCATAAAATAAATAAAATGTATTAATTTAGCAACCAATAAAATGTGTAAATCACTGAAGCATAGAAAAAAATGTTCAGAATCTTTTCTTCCTAAATCAACTTACAGACAGACAATTAATACCTTGAGCTACAGTATGTGGAGTATGCATAAAAATTGTTTTCTGTTTCA